TGTTGCGAACATAGCACTCTCGCGCCTCTTCTGCTGTGCGCTTCTCGACCGGAGGATTTCTGACCGGCTGCTTTCCTTTTCCTTTATCGGCAGATGAACTGGGTCTTGCTGCCTGCACTGGCTGACGCGCAAAAGCCCGAACACTAGCCTCTGTGACTGACCGCTGTCTTTCCTCGATGAACACCTGATCTTCTCCCTCCTCTCCGACAACGTCAGGATGCTCCATATCGATCACGTCGGTCGGACATTTCTCCTTCTTCTTGCTCACAGAGAATTCGGTCTTGCCGCTGATTGACGGAGTAGGCTTGAGAGCGCTGGCTGGGGCAGAATTGCTGGCGCTCGCTTTAACAACGTTCTCGCTCGGCTGTTTGGCATTGCGAACCAGGTACTGAGTTGCAGCTTGGTCGAGTTTGTGCAGTACGTTGATGATGGCTGGATTTTCCGAGTTAAGCACCATCATCTTTGGCAGCACACGGACCATTGAGCGCACACACTTCAGAAACTTTTGGTCCCTTGCCTCTTCCGATGCGCTACTATCCTCCGCCTGCGATTTGCGGGCATTACCTTCCAGCAGGGCTTCCTGCAGATACTTGTTGCGACGGTCGCCATCTCCCACTTTGAAGATGTACGCCAGAATTGACTCCTGAATGGAGCGCTCCCTTCGGACCACGGGATCTGGGGGTAGAGCAGGATCGGCTGGAGTGGCCTGCTGATCCAAGAGAAGGTCTTCTTCGAACTGGGGTGCAGCGAAATTGAGCATATCCCCGAATGCCGTCGTCGCGTCTGGCGTTGAATTGGAAGCTGTTTTCTTCCGCGCCGACTTTGCAAGCTCGTCAGAAAACGACAACTTGAGAGACTTCAACGTTGACGAGCACTGCGAGATACACTGTGGGAGCTGCAACATCAGTTTCAGATCCTCAATATCCAACACCGAGAGATTCTTTAGTCCCGAAAGAAGGGAAAGAGTTGGTTCATGCTGAAGTTTGTCGAGATCCTTCAGCAACTGAGCTTCGGCCCCGGTGCAACTGGGTCGAATTTCCCTGGGAGGCGGATTATTTTGGTGGAAGTGGTAATGGGGAGTCTGGAGCATTTGTCCAAGCGTCGAATCAGTGGCTCCTGGCGTCGTGCATGCTGGCAGGCGAATATGCACGTCTCGAATGTCAGGAATTTGGCTGATCGCTTGGTACACTGAGGGTGTGAGCTCCAAACGAATATCCCAACTAAAGAAGTTAGCACACGAATACTTTATCATGTATTCGAGATTATCTTGTACTTACCTGAAGCTAGTTAATCCGCTCGTCTTCCGCAGAGTAATGGCAGTAAGACTACACAGATACCGGCCTGTGTAGTAACTTTGACTAGGCTTTTTGACCACACCTCCCTGTCTATTATCTGATTCGTAGGGCGCGATATGCCTCACTGCAATGTTCTTGACAGAAGATGCGTACTGAAGGTTGCTAGTACTCACTACCTCCACCATGGCCGTGAACCGATCCAGGGATTTCTCAGTGTAGACAGGATCATCTGTATGAATGCCATGGTGGATGTTGCGGTACAGCAGCGCCACGGCCATGCCGTGGAACTGCTGGCATACCCCAGCCAGGCTACAGAGGCTCTTTTCACCAGACTGAGAGAAGAAGAATATGTCAGTAATACGCGTCTTGGACCTCGGGGGATGTACTCACATATTCAAAGATAGTAGTGAGAATTTCACTGGGGAGACCGAGCAAGCAAGGCACTACTACTCCCTTTTTAGATTTGCAGGTACTGGGCCCGCCGGACTGGATGCCAAAGTGCATCTTCTCATTTCTCGGCGCGTAGCCCCGCTCCATAGTGATTGTAGTGGAAGTTAATGTTTTTTTGAATGACGAGTGGACAAGAAGGGAGGTAGTGTGCAGGTGATAATGGTGAACGCTTAGATGAACCGTTGGATTACCGACAGATCGATCACACGAAGTGGGAAAAGAGTATCGGTGGTATCGACGAGGCGGGAAGGATAGAAGAGAAGTCGAGTAAACAAAGTGAGAAAGAAACAGTCAACTCGAAGAAGAGATTCGAGGCAGGGCCAGCAGCAGTGAATGGCTTCGGTAACACACCGCCGCCACCAATTCTCGCCAGGCGACTGACTGCTGTGCCTGATTTTTTGTGATTGTTCTCACTCTTACTTTGGAACTACAACTGGGAAATTGGTAAGTCACCAAGCATGTTCATTATGTAGTAAATAGTAATATTACATCGGATCTATGTGACAGGCGCTATATGGCCATATTATATATAGTAGATACTTTCGTCCACCTCTGTACAATTGAGTCAATGTCCCTAGATTGGCATCACCGGCAGCCGATATCCCTCTGGAATATCGGTTGGCCAGGCGTCCACACCGTCCAGCAAGGCCAGTGCCAACCCACCAACATGGTGCATCTGAAGATGGCAATGGAGCAGGAATGGCCCCGGGTTCACGATATGGTAGCGCATCGCCAGCCAGCTCGGCCCCGTGCTCGAGCTTGGCGAGTAGAAAGTGTCCCGCAACTGGGGATTTTCGAAGTTGAAGTTCTCTGGGATGTCTTTCATTGCCTCTTCCACGGAGGACCAGATGAAGGGCTGGTTGCCGGTTCCGATCACAAAGTACTTGTTGGAGTGCTTGTGGATGGGGTGTTGAGGCTGGCCCGAGGTGGTGATGTTGATGATGAGATCAACCCAGGTACCGTTCTCCGTCATGGCCGAGTACGCCTGCGAGATTGAGCTGAGGTTGAACAAGACAGGAGGGCGAAGCTCTTCATTCGACACGGGGTACTGGTTGCCCAGGGTCCAGGTGTACGATGAATTGGCATTTTCGACATTCAAGATGTAAGTCCGGTCCGCCTTCGTAGCAGGTGCTACGACAGGGAAGGGAATCACGTTGGTTTCGTTTAGAATGACCGTGGAGGCAGTGGCATTAGCGCCGGCTTCGTTGATATAAGGTTGCGAGGTACCGATCTGCTTCGGTGTAGCGGTGTCATACGACAGGACGGCAGTCCCATTGATGAGCTGGTTGGCATAGTTGTTGGCAACGCGGATAGTGTAATCTCCCGCCTGGTCTTCCGACTTGAGTGGCACCATAACCGAGTATCTTGAAGCGACGGGCACAGTAACAGCGTCGACAAGCAAAGGTTCAACATAACGGCCATCGACCGCGTACACATACATCGGATGCTCATCGATGGAGAACACAAGCGAAGTTGAGCCAGCCATACTAATAAAGTCAAAGCTAGCATACTGCGATGAGGCATTGACCTTGAAAACCTCCGTGGGCCCCTCACTGGGTGTGCATCCTTCGTAGAAACCTTTGGGAATCTTGCTGAGATCATACGAATACGGACCCACAACACCCGGCGTGGGAGGCAGGCATCTAATCAGGATCAGCATTATAACCATCATCAAGACTTGGGACTTCATACCCCATATCAGTCAAAGTTAAGTTGCCCAGGATCTGCTTTTGCTGCGGTGTCGTGGCAGCATTGATGTGTTCCTGAGACGGGCAAATCACCGAGCCCTTTCCATTGATCAAAACAGAGTTGGCACAGTAGGCTTCAACACCAGATTCGGTTTGAATCTGGAGGATATCATGAGAAGAAAAGGCTCGCCAATCCGAGATAAGAACTGGCCGCGTATTCTTTTCAGCTGCCAACATCGCCTGCTGCTCATCCGCATCAGATCCAGCGATCAGATGGAAAGGCCTCTCCACGGAGTCTGCCGGTTCGATGTAGATAGCCCCATAGAGGCCATCATCAATCTGAGCCCGTGTGTGCGAGTGATAAATGTACGAGCCATACTGGCTTGCCTTCCACTTGTAGAGAAACTGTTCGCCCGGCTTGATCTGCTCCTGCGAGAGTCCAGGTACACCATCTGACCACGGGGTGCCTAGTTGCTCGATACCTGAAAGTCTTTAGTAAGACTCTGTAGGAAAAGGCACTCTGCATATCGAAGTAAAAGGATTATATGATTAAGGGGTAGTACTCACCATGAAAATGAACCGTAGTATTGATTGACATCGAGTTGTTGACCAAAAATTCGACATCATCACCCTGCTTCAACCACAAAGTGGGCCCAGGAATCTGTCCATTACTGACAATAGCCTTGTGTACATCACCAGCTACACTGACATCTTCATAGGTCAGGTCTAGCTGAAACTGCACAACACGGCCGGACACCCATTGCACGAAGCAAAGGGCCAACAGGGCCAGCCTGCTTTGAGATATACTCATGCTGGAGCTCAAAAACCAAATAAAGAAATATACAAGGAACCAATTACCTAGTTCCACAGAATATATACAGTCGAACAGGGCCGAGTCGCGGACTGGTTTGTCGTGCTTGAGTTCCCTTCATTCTGCGAGAAGTTTGAGGCTTTTATAATGACAGAACTCAAGAAGCACTTAGACCTGATGCTATTGATGCCCGAAGGTCAAGGCAAGGGATGGAGGACCCGAGACGTATAGCGAAAGGTTCATGACTAGGGCTTGTCATAATGCCATCCGGTGGCCAAGATACTGGATCCGTCATATGCAGGGCCTACCAGCATACGAACATTCCTAGCAGGATGCAGACTGTCCTGCTCACCGCAAGCTTCAATTATTAGCGAAACCAATAAATTTAGATATTATTGCAGGTCGCGGATGCGCGAAAATGTGGATTCTGCATGTCGTTCACAAAACCCGTGAACTTCACACTGGAGATGCGGGTTAAGGCGACAAGTTAGCATTGCCACTGCACTGATAACTGTCCCAGAACATACAGAGTTTGATCATTTGTTTAGCTGATTAGCTGGATATCAGCAAGGAGTGAAGAAACGATTGACGATGTGGTGCTAGGTTATCGAATCTTATTGACCCGGAAGCGGGTTATCGCCATGACCTGTCACTTTAAGCCTGCCCTGCAGTGGCGCGCTTGCAACGTTAGTGTTAAACTTTGACCGATCGTTGTGATAGGTAGATCAGTGCATCTAATGTAAACATATTGATGGTCGCTACTTCTGGGGTAAATACAGAGTCCATAGTGAAATATTAATCAGAAACAGACACTAACTGCAGAGAAACAAACAAGTCAGGCAAAATAAACAAAATAAGCAATAAATGTCTCATATCGGTCATCAATCACATCCTAACGGCATTATAGCTCATATACGTCGTTTAGTCGTCCGCCTCTTGGTTCGCATGGATGACTACTTCCATTGCCGGGCTCACCGGCTGAATCAGTTCTGGACGGTCTAGTAGTGGGGCCTCCGCCGCCGGATGCTCCATAGGCTCTAGCCTCAAAGGGGTCACCGGCTCTAGATCTCGAATAACAAGCGGATTTTCCACAGAAGAGCTTGCCTCGGGCTCTGCCTGTGGCGGTGGGGGATAATCGGACACAGCCTTGGGAATCTCCGCGGGAGCAATTGATACTGAACTCAAGGGCGTCGCCGCGCTTTGCAGAATCTCCCGAGAGCTAGAAGTAATCGAGCTTATTTCTCCAATATGCTGGACCTCAATGCTTGAACTTGCGCAACTCGTAGGCCTATCCCAGCTCGCAGACGAAGAATACATCGGCGACGTCACTGATGTAGAAGCAGATGCAGCTTCCAGAATGTCCTGGGGGAATGGCCGGAGAGCCGATTGGTTTGCTTGGGGCCCAGAATTGACCGCGAGGAACAGAACCAGGAGGCTGAGCACGGCAATTGCGACGTTGCGTCGGTCACTAGCCAATACTCGAACGTAGTTCACCAGCAACGTCTGTAGATCGATATCGTCACTTGATCGTGGAACATATTGAGGCTCTGGTATTTGTTGCTCTCTAGCAGCTTTTCCTTCTGTAACTGGGGCGGATTCGATAGGGTCCGGAACAAAAGAACTGGACTCATCAATTGCCGAGGAAGGTGTACGGTCATGTAGGGAAGGGCGGCGCACTTCGGCGGACATTTCATGCTCAGGCGCCTGCAAATGCGGAACCTGCAATCGGTTCTCGAAGTGGTCCACCTCTTGCTCCAACAGTCGCCTCTCCAATTCCCTCCTGATCTCCGAAGGAAGCCAAAGGCCAACTTCAACATCGACCTTTTCCATTTCCTTCCAAGCTGCTGCCCATGCCCCGGCTCTCATCAGTCCATTGGCTGCGAATACCTTGATCTCCCATTTTCTGCCTTCGTTATTGTGGCGCACCACGTGTCCTCCACAATCAGGGCACTCCTCCCCCTCTTCCTCATCCGTAGCGCTCTCTCTTACTGACTGATCGTCTCTATCAGAGTCGTCCTCATCATGCCCCAGGAAATGGCCATGATCTAGCCTTGGGCGTTGTAGCTCTAGACTCTCCAGTAGCCGCTCTTCTAGCAAGTCATACAGGTCCTCCGGGTGAGAGATAAGCACTCCACGCTCACGGAGCACACCAGATCCGACCTTCTCTTCCAGCAGCTTCCAGCGCCTCCAATACTCCGGGGGCAAAACCTCTTGGAGTATCTTCTGGTTGTGGTAACCCATCGCGCCTGGCACAGGAAGAGAAGGTGGAAGCAGGTTACAGTGTAGAAGTACCAGTGGATACTCCTTTTTAACCTTGGGCTTACCTGCAGACCCTGACGGCGAATAATGATGAAACTTTCTCAGCGGCGATGAACCGGCAGACCTGATCGAAATGTCCGAAAAGCGCTGGCCACCTCTGCGCTTGGGTGGGGTCAAGAATTCATCATCTCCTTCATCCTCCGTGTGCATCTGCATTGCTTTTACCGAGCTTGGCTTCCGGAAAGCGGCTTCCCGGTGCCGTATCGAGCGCAGATGCCCGTCCAACTTGTTATGCGCCTTGTCATCATGGTCCTGCCAACTGTGAGAGAGCATATTGTCATGTATGGCCGTCTTCATTCCATCCGCCATATTTGTGAGCACCGAGGCAGGGATCGACGAGACCGAAGAGCGACTCGAAGCTCTGGAACGTTGGTGTTCGAGGTCTTCATTCAGATCGTCGTTCAATAGATGACCAGAAAGCTGTGTAGATGAATCCGAGGAGTTATAACCCCCGTCGTGAACTAACATTTGTGTATCTTCAGTGGAGGGACCGATGTCGGCATGATGTCCGTATAGAGTCGTCGAAAACTTCGGGGAAGCCGGTCGGTGCTGGTCGTAGGCAAAGCCTTGAGATAGGTCGGATGGTTCGCCTGTACGAACTGCATATTCAGTTAATTGGGGGTCATCAGAGTGGTCGTCCATGGAGGTTTGTCATAGAATCGTATAGACCAAGATAAAGTATAAAAGGAAATGGTTCCCCACTACTATCCGAGCACCAGTGGAAGGCCGTCAGTGAGCCTGTGGATCTCACGAAGAATGCTGAGCTTCGATGGGCCACGCTAGATGGAAGCAAGATGAAATTCTAGGTCGCATACCTTTCAGTTTTAAAGACAAGCTGTTGGAGATGGCGATCGGGGGGGATTGGATGCTTTGTTGCGTGTTGTCTCACCGCCCGGTCGTGATGGGCAACCACATCCCTGCAATGCTTCTGACTGGCTGATGGGTTCCGCTTTACTCTGGGGATCCCCATCATCACTACAAAACTAACGCTCAAAGCTGGAGAAGGCAGGAAGTGGTGATAAGACTTGAGTCCGGGGTTATAGTTAGCTACAATTACACGTCCCATAAATAATAACATACGAACACGCTCACACTCATTATATCACAAACTGCCCGGAATCATACAGTAATCGACCCGAGACACCCTGGAGCATGCTCGCCAATGCAAGACTTAAATCATACAGCATTTCCAAACATTCAGAGCCAAAATACATCGAATGACATCCAACCAGCAGATTTATCGCTTTGAGTTTCCCACCCGTGAAATACGTGTCCATATGACCCCCGGGCGCCAGAGGAACATCAACTCTAATCACAAGAATGACAACGCTCGCTCGGGTAAGTTAAAATCGCATGAATAATAAGCAAAGTATACACTCAATGGGGAGCTTGTGGCGTCTCATCATGAGGACTCATCAGGGCAGGGTAATTTTGATGCTCCCCAAAATAATTAAGAACGTCTTGCGGCAGATATTCTAGCCATGGAAGGATTTCTCCACTGAAAGTGAAGGGGAGCTGATCTTGTTGTTGAAGCGTGGCCATGTCAATGTCTTGACTCTGAATAAATACGTCCCCTGCATGAGAACCCACAGCAGGGTGGAGAACTGTCCGTGCGTTCATCTGGCCGTCCCCAGGTTGCTGGTCGCTGCCAGCAGGTAAGCTATAGTTAAAGCTAGGCGCCTGAGATTCGAACCTAGAAGAAGGATGATTGTACGCTGGTCGCGTGTTTGGGGGTCGGGAGGCGGGACTTGGGAATGAAGTATTTAAGCCAAGGAGCAAATTGGCGTCAGAAGTTGTGACTTGTCCAGAGGATGCAAGAGGCGAGAATCTTTCCGGGCCGGGTGCCATCGATGTGCTCGTCGTAGTCCCTCTATTTCTGGATGGCTCCAGAGGCTGTGAATAAGAGTTCGGGTTTTGATTATCACCAGATTGTACGGGAAGGTGAGGGTAGCTATGGCTATACTGGGATGAGTATGTTGGCTTGTCTGATACGGGCTCGGCCTGGGCGGGTAGCTGATACAGAAGGCTCAGGTTTGGTTGAGACGAATTGGTTGCACCCGTCAACGCCCACCCAATAGCTTAAGAAGAATTAGCTCGTCCTTCTTTTCGAAGATAAATAAGAAAGAGCTCACCTTGACTTGGGTCAATCTTTGGTGACCGTGCTCCGTCCGAATGCGTATGGACATCTGCTGGACGTTCTCCTTCGCCTGAAGCGGGCAAGGAGGGTTGCGTACGCCGCCAAGGGGGCGCAGTAAATGGTTGGACAGCAGACACTTCGACTGCACACTCCATCTCCTCAGTAGTATACAGGAGCGGATCAACGATTCCCTTGGCTTTTTGATCTAATACCGTAAGAATATATTTGGTGCCCTCCCAATACGTCTCGAGTGCCTTTAACGCTTTGTAGCACCGTTGGTAATTCTCCTTTGCGGCCGATGCAAGAAGTATGTGTTTGGCGGTCGGCTTCCGATCAGTTCCACTTGAAGGATCCATATTCGGCATCACAAATCCACTAGATTGGTTTGCCAGCAATGGCTGCGTTGGAGGCGAGCCAGATCTTGAAGAGGGTGACGAATAATAAGCACTCTCCATCAGGAAAGCACATGCGGCAATGTACATTGGCTGACTTGTGAAAGGGTTGCCGATGAAACTTTTCCCGTCTACGAGCTCAGAGAAAGACAGTATATCGGCGATAGTTTTAGCGGAAGACATCGACAGTTCCCTGCTGTTTGGATAGAGGTGTTGAATGGTCCCCCCGAAGGAGTTCAAAAGCGTAGGTTGGTGAAGCAGGACGATCAGCGTATGAAACCACTGCGTTGACATTAGTCTCCTGAAGCAAACAAGACATTCGAGGGCGAGACTCACAAAGTGAAGGAGGATAAAATTGGTTCCTTCCTTCGCCTTGACGTACGCCTGAAAATTTGCCGCATTGAAGTGGAGTCGAGGCGACAGGCGCTGGTATATGCCTAAAATAAATTCTCAGCTTTTTGTCAATGAAGGTCGTGATGTTGTGACCCTACCTGTCAAATCACTCTCCATACCGGCCAGCATTTTCAGTGTTTCTGATGTTACATGATTGACATCTTGTATGCCGTTGATAAGATCCGTCACTCTTCCGTACAAGTGGATTATACGGATAAGCGGCGGGAACGGTGCGGGCCATCCATTTGCCAATCGGGACTCGGACTGAAGTGGAAAGCAAAGCTCTATGTCCTCGTCGCGTAAGGTCACTGGTCTACCTGTTCCAGACGAAATCACTCGGTCAAGGAAGAAGATACTCCAGAAGCTGTCAACCCGTTCACGCTCCCGAGCTCGTCGGCTTTCGGTGTCTTGCATATCTCGGACGGAGCCTGGGGAAATTTGAGGCTCATCATACTGGTCATCTCTCAACTTGCCAGCCTGCCCAGTCATCACTGCATTTGGAGTGACCCCGCTCAGGCCATAATTATACTCTAAACCCTGAACCTTCTGCATTCCCAGATCTTGGGCCATCCGTATGGAAATGCCTAGGTACATCCAAAGCCCACTGTCATGGTTCGAGCCGAACTCGTCATAAGCAAGCAATAGACACGCTTGCACTCCGGAAAGCGTAGGGCACGAGAGGGTATCAACTAGGGCGCTCATGGCTCTGTGGGCAAATGGTTGCCCGCGAGTGGACTTTTTCAAATCGATCTGCGGCTCAGAGCCATCGATGGTTGGAGCTTGAGGCGGACTCAACAGTGGGTGCGGGGAGAATCTTGCGGACAATGCACAAACGGCGTCCACAAGCATGGTGTCTACCCTTTTGTCTTTCAGGTCGCGCAGAAACCTGTCTCGCTGCAGGAACGGAAAACTGCACCCGAGATGCACGAAGAATAGATCACATAGGTGCATCACTAAGTTGCTGACAGAAAGGGAATCATCGCGATCATAGAACGGAATGTTGTTGTAATCACGGGTGTCTCTGGTATCGGGTAATGTGCTGACGTTGTTCATGCCTGCATCTGCGAATTTGGGACTACGAAGGGGAGACAGAGACTCTGCATTGAGAAAAATCAATGGGTTAGCTAGGCGTGCAAGGTAGTGTCGCTAAAATTGGTAGGCCTGCGGGTAAAAAGCAAACCAGTCGCCTGCAGAAGCCAATAAAAGTGAACAGTCAGGAGTGCAGACCTGATGACAGTGACGGATTGCTCTTGCGTGATCCTCGCACCTGGACGACCTGTAGGGGACGTTAACCAATGCAACCTCGGGGCATTATCTTGGAGTATGTATGCGAACCATCTGTTTAAAGCCAGGGACAATAGCTGTTGGCCCAAAATACCTAAAGTAGGGCACATGAGTGCGTGCGCTGGAACTTAGCGAGGTGCGATCTAGACGGTAAAGAGTCTGATAAGCCATGGCCACTCGTACAAGGCATTCGAGAAGCTGGAAAAGTGCCATAACATACTGCTTTCTGGACTGGCCCCGTTGTTCTGTTGCTCGAGTTCTTTTGTTGTCCGCGAAGATGTGTCTGTCGGCAGGGGTTCCTTCTTTGGCTCCAGCAGTTTGAGTGCTTCGGAAGGCTTATCAGCACCGTCAGTAATAGGTACTATGGTTCGGCGCGGAGAATTAGGGGAGCGACTTGCGGCCTTTCGCGCCGCGCGCAAGGCAGTCGCATCACTGGGAGGTGGTAGAGGGGCAATTGTAGGAGTTCGTGATGCCGCGTCGGATTGTGACCGGGCGTGGGCAGACGGTTCGCTGTACCCTTGACAGATGTGGTTGTAATCGGAACATGTTTTGCACACTATGCATTCAAGCAAATGAGTCAAACGATGGCCATGATCAAGTCTAATATCAGCCACTGGTTACCTGGTTGTTCGCCGGAGCAACGGATTTTGCGCTTGCGACACGTCAGACATCTATGGTTGGCCCCACGGGGGAGCGATCAGGTTAGTTTCATCACAGGATGAGCAGACCGGGGGCATGGGGGGAAGAGAGGGCGATTATGACTTACGCCGCATTAACTCGTCGCCGCTTAGTTTGGGGCTGCCCATCAGTTGAAACGAAGCGGATTTGTCTTGGAGGGGGAACATTATTGCCGCCGTTCTTCTGGGGAGAAGGGTGGCTCATTGCGAGCAAGTTATCATCCGGGGTCACGACACATTGGGCATCTGATTGTGAGAGTGTAGGACTTAGGGCGAACGATCGTTCCCAAGGATAAGACACAAGGGAATCGCCAGCGGAGAGTGAAGAGGACGAGGAGAACGGCGGTATTGAAGAGCCTTGGATGGAAGCACCAAGTAGAGAGAAAAATCCATGGACGTAAGTTGTCTTGATCCCACGTCGTGTCCGGTGAAGACTGTTGCGGGATAGAGAGGCAAAAGGAAGCGGAAGTGGATGAGGGGAGAAAAGAGGGTGAGTTCACTCACTCCCTGTCTCACGCTCGTTTTCTTTTTCCTTTTAGTTGGTAGATTTTTTGATTTATTATTATTATTATTTTTTTCTCGTTTTGAATTTCTCTTTTTCCGTTTTTTTCTTTTTCCCCTTCTTTTCCTATTTGGTCAATAATCCCCTGCAAATTTTATGCTGCGAATGATATTATTTGTTTCTCCCCCGTAGGGCGTCAGCGGGAACAGCAAAAGAGAAGCAGAGCAGTGAAAGTTTAGTAGGAGGTGTACCTGGTCACGCTTGCGCGAGAGGGACACACCACGCAGAAGTATAACTAAAGTTAGTAAGGGACTAGTGGTTAACAGTCAGTACGAAGGCAAGTCAACCGGGGGGGAAGGGAAGCAGAGGAATTGATTGATTGACTGATTGATTGTTGGGTCGAGAATCGGCCAGCTAAGCCCTTGGCTGCTGCTCTGGTTCTCCTGCGCTCCTCAGGCGCGTCGGAAAAATAAGCCACCTCAAAAGGCAAGGCCCAAGCAATTCTAGCCTGACCGCCTAGAAGGGATGTTGGATTCGATGGGGATTCTTTGTTTTCTACCGATCACGAGATGCCTCGTTTTTTTCTTAACCCTCCAGGCTAGGCGGGAGGATGACCGCTGGCTAGTAAGGTAGTAGCTAGTGACCGGCCTCGCTTGGCCCGTCTCTCGCCTCTTGCCCTTTCGTATTGATTCGTTCACTCGGAAAATGATGGAAACTACTACAAGATAGGCAGGATGAAACCACAACTCTCCTTCAAGGATCATTCGATCCGACCCTAAGCGGAGTCCCGTCACATACCGAAGGGATCAGGGACAGAACTGAAGGATTGATCACAGCAGAAAACCTCCCCGGAGGGAAAAGTAACTGCCCGGTTCTGATCCGTCTTCCCCGTCTTTTGCCCCATCGCTGGTGGTCCATGTGACTTGCAAAGTGTTGACGTTAACTAACTAGTTACCCGCTTAGTTAATATTTAGAACTGGGACACACCAGCCATGACTGGACTGCAATGGGCACTACTGGACTGGATCCAACTACCGTGTCGTACCGACTAGACTACGACTAGTGCACCGTCGTACCATAGTGTGGGAGGGAAGAACTGCACTCGAGTAACAAATTTGAGCGAGTCAGAGGCAGTCAGTCAGTCTCAGAAGTTATGCCTTTTCAGGAAGGTTGGAATGGACGATACGACAACTATCCTCCTTCCAAGGCGAAACATCCCAGAAGCCTTGTTTGCATTGTTGTTCCAAGTCCCAGGCAACTGGATCTTGATCGCCTCGAGTCTGGACTCCGTCTGGGGAGGGAAAAGTGGACACTCTCCTCCATTTTCTCCGTCCGGAGGCCCGGAGTTTCTCCTACCTTAAATGGCACGTATCCACTTCCCCATCCCCACGCTTCAGTCCACGGTCGGCCTCTTCTCCGATCTCCATGCTTCGGCTATTTCTACAATTAACAGTGCTGACGAGCACATCGCGGTGATTCTTCTTTTCAGCGGCTTTTGAGTTTCACGATCTATTCCAAAGTCTCTAGCTGACCGAATCTATATTCTATCTATTCTTGACCCAATCTAGTGTATACGATGAACCGAGGCTATACGGAGCTCTCAACGGCCCCTCCCTGTCTCGAAGCGAGGTACCACGGTCAATAGTTTATCGCAACGGCCAGGATCTAAGCCGAATCTAGAACTGCGGTCTTGGAATTTCAACCGCGTCGGTGGTCCGACCGTACGAAATGCCTCCCAGCCGACTAATAGGCTTCAGCACCTTCAGGTCGACAATGCTCTTGTCTTCGTTGATCGCATCTTCTCTCACCCAGAAACGAACACCCTCGATGATCGCCAGCACTCCGGATATCTTGCCGGGCGTAGACCGGCTCTCGAATTCCTTGGTTTCCACCAGCTTGCCTTCAATCGCCAGGATGGACTCTTTCACACGGGCCGCCTGAACAACGGCAGAAGGTGCTTGGGTGAGCCCGGAAACTTCCCATTCAGAGACTCCGTAGGGGGCGTTGATGGCTGTCGCATTGGCAGCTTCGACGAAATGCTCCGAAATGATGTTGATCACACACTCGCCCGTCTCCGCCAGGTTCTTCAATGTGTCTTTGGCCTTTTCTAGGGAGCCAACAATCCCGACCGTGAAGAGCGGAGGGTCATGGTTGATGACATTCGAATAACTGAACGGCGCCAAGTTTGTCGTCTTTCCATCCTTGGATTTCGTGCTCATGAGCGCGATCGGACGAGGGACGATGCCCGAGATCAACAGCTTATAGTTGGAGGCAGCCGGTCGCCCCTCCTCGTAGGGATCGATCTCAACGTGGTTCTTTTTCAGGCTCTCACCGCCATCGTTGGCGCCCTCTCCCTGCTTCCAGTTGGGGTTCGGCGGCTGCGAGAAAGTGACGGGAACGTCACGCTTGAACTCGGGCCGGGAGGCTTGGAGCTTTTCGAAATCGTCTCCGACTTTGAACATGGTGGATGTTTGGCTAAACGCTCGAGAGGGGTTGTGGAGTTTCAGGCAACGAGGTGGATTCCTGCAGTTACTGCCTGATGTCAGCATGCGCAAGGGTTAACCGTAGGGTTGGCACTCCCTTTGGCGCCGATTCTCCGTGAATCGATGATGGTCGGGGATAGGGAAACTGCTGTACGGGTTACTTACTGAAACTTGACAGGTAGCTTGGAAGCGAAGGAAACTGTAGAGAAGATGGAGCGTCGCATGAGGATGGCAAAGACACTTTTCTGTCCTGATGACATTGCGTTAGTTGGGCGCGCAGGTGTTCACTCTATCCGGGCCAGGTTGACCGGTGCTTAATTCCACGACCGCAGATCACAGTTGGACGTAGATTCCACGGCCAAAGGGGCACCTCTGAGGCACAAAGTGCGTGGGATTAGTCCGTGACTACCGACTTCCGGGCCGATAAGGGTTTGTCAGCGCCGAAAGGACCCCGCAATGCGAGATCCTCGGCATCCACGGCCGGATTCCACTCCGTTGATAACTTATAGAACATGGCTTCTGATGATTATCAGTGATGCCAACCAGCTTTGATAGTTTTGGACAGTGAGTAAGTACATAAGCGGTTGGCCGTGAGGCAGTCACTGCATACCAACAGTGGGAAAAAGCTGGATCTATGACGTTGCTGATACCCCCCTTCAAATTTGAAATATATTACTAGTAGTACAAATTACCATTTGAAGTCTTAACCATATATCCGGCAGTGGGCATAGTATAGTAATATCCAACAACCGATGTACTACTGGCAAAGAAGGCTATACTGTATATACCAGTAGAGCAGAGAAGTATAAGAAATCTAACTCTCGTGTATATATATATATATGACTTACTATCCCATCGCGCGATACTTCTTAAACTCACTAGTAGTACCATCTATAGTAAACAATCTTCCTTGATGGAGATAAGTAGTGTAAACCATCTCAAATGCCAGATCAACCAACTAGCTAGTCGTAGATCTACACTATGTTATAACGACAACAACAACACCAGCAGCTATAAGACCACCTCTCAAACCAGCCAAACACCCACAGAACGAGGCAGTGCACACACTTTCAGCCTTATCCTCATTCTCATCCTTAACTACACATACGACCAAACAATAAATCCACAAACATCCATCGGACCACAACTACTTACTCGCAACCAACCCCACCCCCAAAATAACCTCATCATCATTATCCTCACCACCATAAAATGTACCCCCCCAGGACCCCCGAACCCCTCAGCGACCACCTAACCACCCAAATCCTCAACTACCAACTAACCCACGGCATGCACCTAAAACACATCCACCCCAACCAACCTCAACCCTCCCACAACATAACCAGCAGCAGCAGCAGCTACCCCATATCCACCAGCATCTTCCCCACCCCTTTCCCAAGGGCCCTATTCCACCACGCACACACCCTCCAACCAATCTACAACGAACTCTACGCCCGTCTCTCAGAAAACGAGTCCTGGCTCTACAACTCGGTAATTAAACCTCTTCTCCCTGTTGACTCCTTCGCGAGGACATTATGGGAGATCCATCTGCGGATGAAGAGTAAAAGAGGAGGGGGGTACGGGTCGGATATCTCAATGGGGTTATTCCGGTCGGATTACATGCTTCATGTTTCTGGGAATGATGATGGTGATCAGGAGGAGGAGGAAGTTGAAGTAGGTATCAGCCTTGAAGAAAGTGAAAATGCGGGATTGAGGCTCAAGCAAGTCGAGTTCAACACCATCGCGTGCGCGGGAGGCTGTCATGCGAAGAAAGTGGTTGATATGCATCGGTATTTGACGAGGACGGGGGCGTATGATGGTTCTTTGTCGGATGCGAACGGAGGCGAAAGAAAGAGTCCAATTAAGCTGTCCTCTCTGCCTACGAATGAGAATATCAAAGGCTTAGCTGATTCTCTTGCTACGGCGCATGATATATATGGCCCGGCGAGGTGCGATCTCGCTACCAAGACAGGGGTGCTTTTCATTGTTCAGCCGGATAATTTTAACGTTGCTGATGAGCTGCCTATTGAGTATGCGCTATGGGATAGGGATGTTCCTGTCCCGACGTATAGGGTTGAGTGGGGGGAAGATGTGTTGGAGAGGACTTGTCTTGGTGGGAACCGGGAATTGTTGTTTTACCCGCATTTACAGGGTGAAGGTAGCAGGCCGGTGGAGGTATCGGTTGTGTATCTGCGCGCTGGGCTCGAGGTGCATGAGTATGATGCAGCGGGGATAGAATGTCGAGTCAGGCTGGAGCAGTCGCGGGCTATCAAGTGTCCGTCGGTGCTGGGACATGTGTTGACGTTTAAGAAGGTGCAGCAGGCTCTTATGGGCCTGGGGGTTTTGGAGAGGTTTCTTGATTCGGAGGAGAAGGTATCGGTCATCAGGGATACGTTTGTGGGTATGTACCCGATGGATGGGGATTCTGAGGAGGGACATTATGCGCGTGGGCTGGCGACGGATCATGAGACAGCGTGGAGGTATATACTGAAGCCGTCGCTCGAAGGCGGGGGGCATAATATCTACGGGGAGGATATCCCGGGGTTTCTTTTGGGGATGATTTCTGAATCCGAGTGGGGGAGGTATGTGTTGATGGAGAGGATTAGGTCCCCGGTTGTGGGGAATGTGCTGATGTCGAGGATGGGGGTGGAGGAGTCGGATGTGGTTTCGGAACTGGGGGTGTTTGGGTTGTGTATTTGGAAGAAGGGGGAGATTCTGACGAATGAGACTGTGGGATGGTCGTTGAAGACGAAGTTTGCGGATGTGGATGAGATGAGTGTGGTTAAGGGGTTTGGGTGCTTTGATACGCCCTTGTTGGTTTGATTGCTAGTTGTGACTGCAGTGTGTCGTTTGGGTAGTATTTTATTATATAGCTATCACGGATCCCAGGCGACTAAGCTGATTTGTATATATCCTCATCACTAGTACTCGTCAGCATGTCAGTAAATGCCGTGCTCAGACTACAAGCGAAGACTTACAAATGATATGAGAGGCTATCTCTTCCCTCAGCCTCAGAGTATACCCACACACTCACGCTCATCGCACTAACTGGAAACTCTCCGTATCCCTTGGAATCAATGACAACAGTCTGATCACACCACTGCAGAATGTCTGTCCATGTCTCCTTGGCGTGTCGTCGACCAACATACATCCGCTTTCTCGATGGGCCTGTGTTGCTCATCACGCATGCCAGACCAGAGGGGTGTCGACGGTTGCCGTAGCGGACGAAACCTATTCCGTCAGTCTGCGGTAGAGGATAGCGAAGCAGGTACTAACCAATGCAGTTCGGCTTGTCAAAGTAGTCACGTTGCAAGCCATATGCGTAGAGCTTTCGAGCTCGGGCGAGGATGGGCAGCTTGCCCCTGCAGGAAGGTGTCATTGGGTCTTTGACGTCGGCTTGGAGGCCGTAGAGGTCACCGTAGAATATGCATGGTTGCCCTTGTTCACGGAGAAGGATAAGGGCGTATGCGAGGGGCTTAAAGAATGATGTTACTGGCGCCTTTTCGCTGTTAGATACGTTGAGTCAAAATGTGCTGTGTACATACCTCGAGGGATTGTCCTGGTTGCTTTGGCTCTAAGTTAGTCGAGTGAGGTTAGGTCAAAAGAAACATCGTACTTACAGTGTCATGGTTTGCAACGAATGTCTTCCAGTAGTCAGTAAGAGATCCCATCAAATTATCAAACAACTTACGACAGAATGATCTGGATACTGCTGTACTAATGTATCATAGAAGATGTTGCGAAGATCAGCTCCTGGTGTCTGTGAGATGCTTGAAAACCGCCCAACTAGAGCGGAATCGAACAACGATAGCTTGTAGTCCATCTGCTTTAGGTACTCAACCAGTGGCCTGGTCTCGCCTTTCCAGTACTCGCCCACTATAACATAGTCTGGCCCGGCAATAGCTCGAAGATGATCAATAAGCTCCTTCTGGAACCCAGCCGAGTAATGCTTGACCGCATCCAGTCTCATACCGCTTAGAGGCAGTTGAGAGTTGAGCCACTCGGCCCAGTTTAGAACATCGCGTCGTACTTCTGCGTTAGAGTAGTCTAAATTGGCGAACATGAGATAGTCGTAATTTCCGTTCTCATGAGCGACGTCGTTCGCCCATTCATGTCCCTGGATCTTGTAGACCCCTCTCCTTTGACGTAACTGATCCCAGTCGATACCGCTAAAGTGGTGTTTGTTGTACTTCATCGAACTATATTGGTCGCCACGTCCAGAGAAGTTGAATCCCACCCAGCCCTCTATTTCTTCTGCAGGAGCGATCTCCATATTACGCTCTAAAGCCCCCAAGTTAGTAGGTGCACCGGGCTAGTAATGGTAGAGCTGGCATACCCTGTGGGTCAACTCTGACGGCTTGAAAGCGCTCTGTGTAATCTGCTCCCGCCTTGTGATTGAGAACAGCGTCCCAGTAAATACCTATACCAAGATCCTGGGCTGCAGCTACCAAGGACTGAAGTTCCTCCTTTGTACCCCATTTGGTAGCTCGAGACCCTTTTTGCTCAAACTCTCCCAGATCATACAGATCATAGATGTCATACCCGTTACCAGATGGATTCATAGCTTTACACCCGGGCGGAATCCAGATGTTGTCTACACCAATTGCCTTGAAGTTTGGTAAGGCCTGGTGAAGACGACGCCAATGACCTTGGTCGGCTGGTACGTGCCATTCGTAGGCTTGCAGCATTAACTTGTTGTCGGGAGCATCCCATGATGGAAGCTGATCCAAGTGTTCAGCTTCTTCTGTTGGTGGACACACATAAGCGTTGGTTCAAAGTCCTAATAAGATGCAATTTGATGATTACGGAGGCTAACCTTCAATCTGCTTCCATATTTGTCTCTCCCTCCTCTTCTTAGGATGACAACATAGGAGGAAAGATAACATGGAGAAACGCAGTACTTCCTACTTCTTGAAACAGTACCGGAAAGGGCGAACAGGTAAGGACAGGTATCCTATTTCGAATGCGAAGCTGAGAGGGATTGAGTTTTGTGCTAAAGAAAATCACCTCCACTGTTATTCAGATCTTAGATGTATCAACTGTATACTGCAAAACACGTCATATTGGTGATAGCTGTCTTGTATGATTTTAAGGCATGATGGTCGATCAGAGAACAGCCACTAAAGCCTCCTGTTTTTAGTGCGTTGATACTTTAAATAGTAGATGGGGCTGGTTGCTGTGCCTGTCGGGCGCAAACCATAGCTCCAGTGAATTATCCTATATTTTCTGGAGCCTTCCTTGCAGAATCCACGACGTATATTGGTCTGAGTAACGCATCAATCGCGTCGCAACGCCAGACACCACATCCGAGGATAAATGTTGATGCCTGAGGGGATGAATGCGCACAAAATTGTTATGAACCGAGCAAGAAGTTCTCCGTCGGCTTACCGTTGACCGAAAGGAGAAAGTGCACCAATCAGTGGGCAGCACGGCTTGGCGGCCATGGCAGGTTTCGTCACTTGAGGATGAGGATGGAATGGTTATTTGCCGAACCAGACCCTTCTCTTAACTTTGTCGTGAGGTTTCGGAAGAGGCGAAAGGGATATGTTCGACGGTTTCAGTTTGCCGCAGAAACCATGACCAGAGAAGGGAGGATGTTTCTTGTTGATGCGAATTTTCAAACATTGACTGCCTGAGGCTGCCGTTGTCGCAATACCTGGCTTATTGTCTTAGACCTCGGTAAATTAAGTCGCGAGAGATCAAACAGTGATGGAGGTTGATAGGTGTCTGTATTCAAGAGCACATCGTAGCATGTTTAATTCTAAGATACCCTACTATAAAAATTCCCGTTATAGTTCTGAAGAATATTTCCATTTCCCCGTCTACCTGGCCAGCACCTGACCCTAATTCACCCTACTGAAGACCCTGCCCGGAAGAACCGGAGTTAAGGGTGGAACACCGCAGGTGACCGATCTTCAACAACACATCAAACACAAAATAATTAGATGCTATGACGGAGGGAGGGATTAATTCCCTCTGGCTGTCAATCAGATGGGGACTATAACGCTGGTGTTCAGTGACGGGGTTATTGTTCGCTCGTTCATTTGTTGGTTGACCGGGCGATCGGATTTAAAGGCTTTGTGGCAAGGCACGCATTGGCCGCGAAAAGTTTTCGGGTTCGGGTGCCGCTAGTGCCAAAGCAGCCCGCCGGCCATCCCTTTCAAATCCTCTTCCTTCCGGGTCTCCATTTTCTTCCCTCTCTTTCCCAAACTCTGCAAAGCTTCAATTGCTTCGCTCTCCTCTCCTCTTCCCTCTCTTCTCCACACTCCTCTCTTCCCTTTTTTCTGTTCTTCTTTTCATATACCCCCCATATACACAAAATGGCTGCCAACGCTAAGGTGGAGGCGCCTGCCGCCGCCCCTGCTCCCCAGCTCTCCGGCCTCCAGCTGTACTCCAGATTCGCCTTCGCTGGTGCTGTCTGCTGCTCCGTCACCCACGGTGCTCTCACTCCTGTCGATGTGTAAGTCGGATGATGTCGCCGTTTGTCGATTTGTCGATTTGTCGCTCTCGATCGCGCCTTGTTCCGACCGAGTGTGCGACTCGATTGTTGTTCCATCTCGACCACCTTATCCAGAAGCCCGTTGCTGACGTGCTCTTCTTTCGTCCTGCAGCGTCAAGACCAGAATCCAGCTTGACCCCGTCACCTACAACCGTGGTATGATCGGCGGTTTCCGTCAGGTCATTGCCAACGAGGGTGCTGGCGCTCTCCTCACTGGTCTCGGCCCTACCGCCGCCGGTTACTTCCTCCAGGGTGCATTCAAGTTCGGTGGTTACGAGTTCTTCAAGCAGCAGTGGATCAACCAGCTCGGTCTCGAGACTGCCTCCAACAACCGCACTGCTGTCTACCTTGCTTCCTCCGCTGCCGCTGAGTTCTTCGCTGATATCGCTCTCTGCCCTCTTGAGGCCACCCGTATCCGTCTCGTCTCCCAGCCCACTTTCGCTACCGGTCTCGTCAGCGGTTTCGGTAAGATCCTCAAGAACGAGGGTGTCGGTGCTTTCTACTCTGGTTTCGGTCCTATCCTCTTCAAGCAGTAAGTTCCCTTGATGCAGCAGAAACGTCAAGTCATATGCTAAGAATCTCTCAGGGTTCCCTACACCATGGCCAAGTTCGTCGTTTTCGAGAAGGCTGCTGAGGCTATCTACGGTATGGTCGACAAGAACACCGCCAGCGATGGTACCAAGACTGCTATCAACCTTGGCTCCGGTCTCATTGCTGGTTTCGCTGCTGCCCTTGTCTCCCAGCCCGCCGACACCATGCTCTCCAAGATCAACAAGACCCCTGGTGAGCCCGGTGAGGGTACCGTCTCCCGTCTGATCAAGATCGGTAAGGAGCTCGGCTTCCGTGGCTCCTACGCCGGTATCGGTGCTCGTCTGTTCATGGTTGGTACCTTGACTGCTGGTCAGTTCGCCATCTACGGTGACATCAAGCGTGTCCTCGGTGCCACCGGTGGTGTTGAGATCTCCAAATAGATGGGGAAGTGATGAAGGAATTTTTTTGGTGTATTATAATGCTCACTAGACCTGCGTTGCGTAAACAGTGTTTTCAATAGATTTTTCTGGTAAAAAGAGAAGTCTGGAGATTGCAAATGGAATAGAGCAACATCTGATATCTGTGTCTGTATATGAAAAGTCAAAAGTGAACCTTACATGAGGATGCCAAATTCTCTTTAACAAGGGTCGTTACTCCCTCATTACTGTAACCCTGTTACTACATGCGATAAGGCTATGTAGTATGCAAAAAATAGCCTCATGAGGGTGCAGCAACGTAGCTACCAAACACAACCCATTGCACCACTCGTCATACTGTCCATATATTATAGTCCATTGACACGTTATCTTCATATTATTATTATCACTCAGTAGACCACCTCGACACCAAGACTCAACCGACTCATCTTATCCCATCCCATCAACCTCCACCCCCCAAATCAAAACAGTCAATAAAAATCACACCCACCTCCCACCCCCACCCCCATGCTCACCTCCATTCCCATTCCCATTCCCATTCCCACTCCCATCAACCCTCAAATCCGGCGTAAACGTATCCCACCCCTTCCCAGGATTAATCCTCTCCGGCGCACTAACGCGAAACGTCTTCTGCACGACCCTCGGACTGGGTCCTCGTCTAGGACTCGAGTTCTGATCCAGTAATCGCTGCAGCTGCTGCCGTTGCATTTCCTCCTCCGTTAGTGGTAGTAGTTGATTATTCTTGCCTTTTTTCTTATTATGCCGTTGGCGGCCTCTATCACTGGTGGTGGTGAAGATGCACATGTCACCTGCGTAAATGGATAACGCGCCCAGGGCATACAGAAATGCGAAAACACTCGGCAGCACGAGGCTGGTCGTTTGGAGCGGGGATAATGGGCCGGGCGATTGGGTTGGATGGCGGCAGAGGATGTTGAGGAGGATGTTGAGGAGGGAGAGGAGGGAGGTTGTTGTGTTTGGTCTTTGGGTTTTGTTAATCTCATGATGATGATGATGATGTTTTGGGGTGTGGGGATGTGGAGGGGATGTATACATGTATATAGAGTGGAGGAGGTATTGGCGCTCGTGTCTTTGGAAGTAGATTAGCATGAGGGTTATTGTGTAGCCGATTGCGATTAGGACTGATGCGGCGATGATGGTGGTTGTTGGGTCGGCGGATGGTGTTGTGTTTTCATTGTTGGGTTCATTGTTGGAGGAGGTGGAGGAGGAGGTGGTGGTGGTGAATGCTAGGGGGAGGACTAGGAAGCTATTATTTTTGGATTGGATGGGTTAGGTTGAAGGTGCATGTATTGAATATCGACTAGGTAGGGTTGGTTGCGTACCCTGCTAGCACGAGGTAGGAGGAACTTGAGGCTAGGAATCGCCAGAATGTGCTGATAGTTTCTTGGTCGGTTTGGTCTTGTTGGAGCTGTAGCTGTAGATGTGGCTGTTGGTGGTGATGCTGTGGTTGCGGTGATGGTTGAGGTGATGGCTGCTGAGATAGACTGTAGTAATGTGGTGAGAGGGTTGGAGTGGAATCCCATCCATATGTGCTCATTGATGCCGTCGAAGCGACGGTATATGCCATAGTTGCGAAAAGGTCGCTCACGACTGATGTTGTGGGTGCTCTAACATAAGGTAGGAAGAATAATGTCTAGTAGATCATGATTGAGTGTGGAATAGTACTAGAAAGGCAGCTAATTCACTGGAATCGGAGGGTAAAGTAGCAGAACACAGCCTGCAGCAGACAGTGGAGTGAGGAATGCGACAGCTGCATATTAAAGGTGTTTTGTGATAAGCAAGGATGGACAAACCCTCGACGACGGACTCTAGACTAAACAACTGAAAACTACTAAGAAAACCCAGCCCGAAAAAAAAAGGAGGACAAATATAGAACGGGTGCTCATGCATCAGTCTGCAACCACCATCACGATTGAACACACGCCGGTGGCTGATGGACTGCAGGTTTTGGAGTGATTGGACGAATGGCGTGAGGCCGTGGATCATCGCGCTTGTTTAGTAGCGTCCGGCCTCATTTCCTGCCACGGAGCAGTTCCCTCACGACGATCATCCTCTCGTTTTTGGCTGACGGTGCTCAGCCACAGATAATATGCAGGCTGGACATTCCTCGTGTGCGGGGAAAGATCTATAATTATGTGTGAAGCCACAGTCGACTCTGGTTGATCTGACCTCTTCCCATGCTGTGTTTTCTTCGATTATTCCGCCATGAGAATGGCAGCTGGTCATGGTGTGAAATGAGACCGGCTAGGGCGTGACTTGGCGCGTATGACTATCCTCTAGCAGCAGTCGTCTTGCTCCACAAACTAGTCGATTAGATCAGTGAAGAAATTACCCAGTGGATAGGCAAGACGGAGGAAAGGACAGTCCGAGCCATGACCACCGCTTTGACGGCCGAAATAGGAGATTGCAGACCGACCCTGATGGTGAGGGAGGAAATAAGGGATGGATAGGGCCATTCCCCAGTTTCATCGACGGGTGGTAGCCGTGCGGGGATCCGCTTAACAGTCAGTCAGTCAGTCAGCCCAGCAGCTTACATGCCTCTGAGAAGCTGCATCTGAAGCACTGTGAAACATTCCTGCAGCAGGTGTGCCTGCAGTAAGCTTGGGGGCGTTGATTCACCCCCAGGTCGGGTTGTTGCCCGAGCCCGGCCGGAAGAAAAGCACAGGCCTTCAAGGCTTGAGATAAGCCCGCGGGATCACAGTCAGTGCCATTTTCGCGACGGCTGATCATGTTATCTCGCGGGTTGGTGAATCTATTTGCAGACAAGTTGCCAGTTAGAAAATATGATCGCAGTGTACTCGGCCGTCCAATTGAGCAGTCTGTCAAAATGCTACATGTTACACTGGACGCTTGCGTTTACTGTTGGGAGAATGAGCCGACAGTACGGTTTACTGTGCCTGCAGCCCTTGCGCATAGACGAAAATTCATGTAGAGGACAGCTCAACGTAGTTCAACTACTGACAATTACCAAGTCAATATAGTTCGCTGCTCGGTTCCAGTATCGCATTGCGATCAACCCCAGAGACGGAGTCTGCTGGCTGTCGCACATCCGCGGATCAATTTCAAAACTATTCAACTACTTTCTCCTGCAATTCAATTCCAAACCGCTCACTCAGTTCCTCACGCAGCAAACGGGCTATCTCTACAGTCGTCCACGGTGCCACCATTCCCTTCTGCGAAATACGACCCTCCAACACTGCCAGTACGCCCACTGCACAAGGCAATCCCACCAGTTTCGCCATAGCACTGCGCGACCCGGGAGCAGTTGGCTCTCCGTATTTAACAAGCGTGCTCGTTCTTTTTTCCTTTGACCCATCCGCATACTCAATGTCAAACGCATGTTGCAGAATGATCATGTCCCTCTCGCCTGGCTCGTAGGCCATCCGCCGCTCCAATACCGCACACAGTGTGTCAAGAGGCGTACCACGCCCATCCACAGCACTCGCATCGAATAAGCCGATCCAACGAAGACCAGAGATGACACGACTGACTTCTTCGGTCGACAGAAAAGAAGCCACCCTCTTCGCCACAGCATCCTGTACAGTTCCTTCGGAGGATTCGACCGACAGACCCAGCAATTGTGCAGTCAACTGCAGCCAAGTAACAGCGGCGGACGATGTCACGCTCAACGCAGGAATCTCATCCTGAGAGAAGTACCCAATAGCCACCAAGGCACGAATAATCTCCGGAAACCCAGCATAGCGCAGAGTCCCGCGAAACACAGTGCCCGCCTCAGGAATACGATAGAATTCACGAAACCCAATCGCGTCCCGATTCGGATACCCGACCAAATTATCAAAGCCTTCAACTATACTCTGTGGCTCTGAAACAGCCATCAGATCCTTCCCTTCCACCGTAGCCAGCTCCCCATTCTTGTACCACTGCGCCGAATTCAATAATGCAAGAAGACCACCCCGCGGACTCCACGAGAACTTATATCCCAGCGGGTTATCTGCATTCTCAGGAGCAGGAAGCGCACCACACCAGCTTGTGAACGATCGGATCTGCCCTCCCGCACGATGCACCTCGTCAATTGTCTTGACAGCGTACAGGTGGTCGATGCCCGGATCTAGACCGATCTCGTTGAGCACAGTCACTCCTGCGGACGTGGCTTTTTCATCGAGCGCCCATAGTGCGGGGGAGATGTAGCTGGTTGTGACGACGGGTTTGCGATGCGTGATAGCGGCCTCCACGACCGTGGCGTGATAGATGTAGGGTATGAGGGAGATGATGATGTCTGTGTTGGTGATGGCGTCGTTCAGGCCAGCAGCATCGCGGGAAACGTCGAGGGCGATGGCTGTTGTGTTTTTATAATTGCTGGCTAGAGCCTGAGCACTCTGCAGAGTGCGACAGGCGACAGTGACGTGAACGCCTGCTTCGGAGAGGGCTTGGATGACGGGCTCGCAGACGAAGCCGGCGCCGAGGAGGAGGGCTTTCTTGGTGGTGGTCGACATGGTGAAGGGGGTAGATACTAAGTAAGGGTCTGAAATCAATGAAACTTCTATCTTTATGAACTAAGTAGAAAGCAAGACGATATTTTGATTGATGATTGCTGTTTCTATGGACTAGAGATGTCTGAAGTTGAAATCGTGATGGTGTAGAAGCAGCATGAATGACTCACTGCAAGGAGATTATCTAACCAGTGACAGGCCGGCATGACTAGTACTAGTATCTAACTCGACTGCTGCGCCGTGGTATTATGGTAGATACTCACTGCTAGGAGAGAGAGTGAGAGTGAGTCATGTCATTCTTTGACAAATAATTCCAATACATATAGTATAACCCCGAGCGCTGTAAAGTATACTCCATGGCCATTATTCATTCAAGACGCTGGACCTGTCTGGATAGATAGCGTAGAAGCCCTACAATGGCTCAGCCCCAACCGGATACGGTATACTAGTTATTTACAAAATGAAACACAACCCCCCTAATGGCTGATAATTCTTTCTTTAGATACAACTACATATAGTCATGTACTTGCATGGGGACTTAACTCTCACGTGTGAATTTACTGATAGATGTTGACAAGCTGGGCGAATCTCATGTGTGCTGGTGCGTCTAGTCTAAGTCCTTGAAGGTATCCCAGGTGCTTCAATGAAGCATAAAATATCAGGTGTCATATATATTTAAGATAGCATTTAAACAATAGATCAGGGTGCCAGCATCTTGTAGAGTAGCAGCAAGACGATGGTTCAGAGGCACAGCGAGACCGTAATGGGCTTATCAGGATGCTGCGTAGATAACATCCGATAAGCACCTCCACTCCAAGAGACCATGTGATACGCTGGCTAATAGATAATAGTAGTAGGAAGTGCAAGCAACGATCACACCTAGCCTTGACTAGGACTGAAAGACAGACAGGAGAAGAGGGGAATCGGCAACTTACCAGCCCGATTGTAGCCGCCAATTGACCAAGCCCATCAGCACCATCTTCCCCCCATCCATCCCCTCACGCAGAGCTGCATCACTGCATCAATTCGCACCTGTGCGCAACCTATTTCCCGCCCATATACAATAGATTTGCATACTCCAAAATGTCGCAGGAAGAGTACGAGACCTTCAAACTGGGCGACTGGGAGCTCCAGAGCGGAGAGAAGCTTCTTGATGCTCACCTCGCATACAAGACTTTTGGAGACCCCGCCTCCCCCGCAATTGTCTATCCTTCTTGGTTTTCTGGATGTACGTACCATCTCTGAAATACACCAAGTAGTCTGTAGACTGCTCTTGATTGATTAACAATCGTCTGATTTTACTTAGTGCTCTCCGACAACTACTGGCTAATCGGAGAGGACAAGACCCTCAATCCCAAGAATTACTTCATCATCGTCCCTGCGCTGTTCGGCAACGGTCAATCGACTTCTCCATCAAACTACGCCCATCCTGGACACTTCCCAAAATGCTCATTCTATGATAACGTCCGTGCCCAGCACCAGCTAGTGACACGGCACCTAAAGATCACTCATGTGCGGGCAGTGATTGGGTGGTCGATGGGAGCAGCCCAAACCTATCAATGGGCGACCCAGTACCCTGACTTCATGGACGTGGCGGTCCCTTTTTGTGGCTCTGCAAGAACTTCCCTTCATAATAAGGTCTTCCTGGAGGGTGTCAAAAGTGCACTGCTGGCTGCAAAGCACATCCCATCAGCCGGGTCCGGAAATGGTGGCCTCCTCCAGGCCGAGCAATCCTTGCGGACCTGGAGTGACACAGAGAAGGAGGTTGGTTTGAAAGCGTTTGGCAGGGGGTATGCAGGATGGTAAGGGCCAGGCCGACATTTGTTTGTCTGCTGCTAGTATGCTAATGCAGTGACTGGTGCAGGGGATTCTCACAGGCCTTTTACCGGGAAAAGCTGTATGAAACCGCCTTGGGGTTCAAGGATCTAGAGGATTTTATGCAGAACTTCTGGGAAACTTGGGCGCTTTCTAAAGGTCGGTCAGCAGCGTGGTGCTGTGTTGTACCGATGTGTGTTTGTTACTGACAGGCTTTAGATCCTGGGAACCTCTTGACGATGCTGCAAACATGGCAGAATGGTGATGTGTCCAAACAGGAGCCGTACAATGGCAACTTTGAGGAAGCATTGGGCGCCATCAAGGCCAAAACCCTGGTGTTACCCAGCAAGACGGACCTTTACTTCCCGTAAGTGCCGTCCTTTTAGGCATGGTCACCGCTGACAGCCGTCTACAGGCCGGAAGACTCGGAATACGAGGTTGCTTTCATGCAGCGGGGGACTGGGACGCTGAAGGTCTTTCCTTCGATCTGGGGACGTAAGTGTGTTCCATATCGTTCCAACGAGAATTTACTCTAACACTACCTGTTGTAGACTGGGCTGGCGGTCCAGGGCAAAGCAAAGAGGACGTCAAATGGCTGGATGAGCAGCTGGCGGAGTTCTTTGACAAGAATTGAACGTTGTTCATGTCTTTGTCTTCCTTTCTTTTGCCGCCGATAAGCGGGAGACTGTGTTATCGATACACGCCAAGTGATTGGTTGTTGATCGGCATCAATGAGGATTTAGTACTGTAGCGAGTTCCCTGTTGTTACTTTATCTGTAGTCAACATCTCTTTCATTCACTCGCTGCCACAACACGTATATATGGCTAGACTGAATTTATAGAATATCAAAACAGCTGGTGGCGTCTAAACTGCTCCATCCCCAGTGTTACATGCCTATTGGTAGCCACACGTGATCGTCGATAAGCTGAGTCAGCAGGCGATAAACCTTTGCTCTTTTCGGCCAGGCAGCGCCTCCTCATTCCCAACTCCGATCCCTCTGCGCTGCTCCCTTCGTCCCTTTCCTTTCGCTGGTTTCTTTCGTCTTTGGTTTGTCGGTCAGATATATCTTTTGTCCCAGTACATCTTCATTTTCTTCTCCAGTCGTTCCTTTCTCATCCCGTTCTTGTGTCGAGTTGCTTTCTGTTGGTCGACGGCGCAAGCGCATGCTTCTGTAATACTTCACTTCACTTGGACACTTTCAGTATGGCGGCACCACCAGTCAGACAATGGGGAGTTACCCCTCCCATCTCCACCGTTTTACCGACCCCCGACGAGCTTGCAGCAAACGATGATCTTATCACGGAGTTGAAGGTGCAGAATAATTTTGAGAGCCCTGCGGAGACGGAACGAAGGTAAGAGGCCGATTCGTGATGTTTCGTGGAGGTCAACCGGCATGGGCGCTAAGCATGCAATTGCGCTCTAGGAAACAAGTATTGCAGCTCATCCAGCGTGTTACCGTTGAATTCGTCAAAACAGTCAGTCGGAAGAAGGGTCTCTCTCAAGCAGCCGTCGAGGCCGCCGGAGGGAAGATCTTCACGTACGGAAGTTATCGCCTGGGTGTTTATGGACCAGGCTCGGATATTGATACCTTGGTTGTCGGCCCAAAGCATGTTATTATCGATGACTTCTTTTCGGATTTCCCACCGATTCTAGAGAAGATGGCTGCTCCGGGAGCTATCGAGAAGATGACTCCGGTCCCCGACGCCTACGTTCCGATCATCAAACTCGAATTGTCCGGCATCAGTATTGATTTGATCTTTGCTCGCTTGATCATTCCTTCGATTCCTATGAACTTGGATCTTAAGAACAATGATTACTTGCGGGGTTTGGATGAGAGGGAGGTGCGGTCGCTTAACGGCACTCGTGTGACGGATGAAATCTTGGAGCTCGTGCCCCAGCAGAAGACATTCCGGCTTGCTTTGCGCGCTATTAAGCTTTGGGCTCAGCGTAAGCGCTATACTCTTGTCTAAGATGGGCTTTACTAAGTCTTAACAGGCCGTGCGATTTATTCGAACATTGTCGGTTTCCCGGGTGGTGTTGCTTGGGCCATGTTGGTGGCGAGAGTGTGTCAGTTGTACCCTCAGGCTACTGGCTCGGTGATTGTGGGCAAATTCTTTCGCATCATGAATAAGTGGGCTTGGCCCCAGCCGGTTCTTTTGAAGCCGATTGAAGATGGGCCTCTGCAGATGAAGGTCTGGAACCCCAAGGTAAGGATAAGGCCCAGGAGCACATAAGCGCTTTGGCATGGCCGTTAATGAGCAATAGATCTACCACGGCGACCGTTTCCACCTGATGCCTATCATCACTCCTGCCTACCCCTCTATGTGTGCGACCCACAACGTCTCAATGTCCACCAAAGCAGTCATTCTTCGTGAACTCCAGCGTGGTGGAGACATCGTGGACAAGATTTTCTTGAAACAGCTGCGCTGGGAAGATTTGTTCGCGCGACACACATTCTTCACCAAGGATTACAAATACTACCTCAGCATCACCGCATCGAGCAGAACCAAGGAGGCAGAGTCAGTCTGGTCTGGCCTTGTTGAATCTAAGATCAGACATCTTGTTGGAGCTCTGGATAGGAAAGCAACTATTGCCATCGCGCACCCCTTTCCCAAGGGATTTGAGAGAGTTCATCGTGTCTCTTCGGAGGAGGAAATCGAGGCTGTTAAGACCGGATCTACCAAGTATCAAGATAAGGGAACAAAGACTGAGACCACCGATGAGATGAAGGATGCGGCCCATCAGGCTGCGGCCCAGAACGGGGCAGAGAACACTGATGTTGCAGCAGCCGAGAATAAGCCCGTTGATGACACTCATGTCATGTATACGACGACTTACTATATCGGGTTGGAGCTCAAGCCACTCGAGCCAGGTACGTAGGATCGACTACTTTTGTGAATCCACTGACTTTGTAGGTGCCTCCCGGTCGCTGGATATCTCGACCGATGCCCAGATCTTCAAGTCGACGTGTACCTCGTGGCCAGGATACCAGCCCGGTATCAATGATCTAGCGATCACCCACGTCCGCAAGTGAGTGGCCTGTTACCTGCAGCATAAGTTTCCGATTAACTCCCGTCAGCTTTGATCTTCCCGAGGATGTGTTCCAACCGGGAGAGACTCGCCCTACCCGCCCGAAGAAGAAGATCGTCAAGAAAGCCGAGATCAGTGGCCAGAAGCGCAACATCGAATCCTTGGACGTAAGTGCATGCAAGAAAGCCAAAGTAGCTTACGAGCAGCGAACCGGCTACCATACGAACTTCGACTCTTCGCAAGTCGCCTAGTGCTCGATCGTTCTCCGTGTGTGGGTATGACTGATATCGACTGTCTGCGTAGGACCCGTCCCACCCCGCTGCCAAACGCCAAGTCCCCTCCAACGGAATCGTCAATACAGCAATGCCCGCCTGAATTGAGTTCACATGAAGTCTGAAGAAGCTCCCACTCGCGCCGGGGCAGGCCCCCATAAACAGTCCAAGAGACACAAACCATATGAAACACCACGGTATCCGGGTTTGAAATCCAACCAAATCCCACCAATCTGGATGAGCATACATTAATGATTTGAGCAAATAACCCCAGCTGACTGACTCTGACCATCACCGCAGTTGATCTGGTATGCATTGCAAATTCCTTTTGCGATCACCAGCTCGGATAAGCGGGAGGTCAGATGTACAAGGTTGGTTTACTCTTCTTTTTCTTACTTTTGACCACCATCATTTGCCGCAACTGTCATCATCGTATTGCGTTCCCTTTTTTCTTTTTGCTTCTTGTTTTTCTTCTCTCATGCAGGTATTAGAATACGGCCAGCCATGATATAATTGCAGCTGTAAGAGCCGGACTTTTTCTCTGGAAGGGAGAGAGTAGGGCGAGACAGACCCGGCCAGATACTTCTGCAGCTGTACATAGCATTCATTTTCCCCCCTGGTCTGCCTTAGGTTCTGGTGTGTATATGCCAGAGTTACAGTTACAGTTACTAGGTCTAGTTGCAAATGAAGGTACAATTTGTGGCCCAGGGCCACTCTAACCTCATCAACACTTTCTCTATAGCAGAGCAAATAGTATCTAGTAGTAGCCTCCATATATACAAATCCACCCCCGATAAGGAAATTCATCACCTCCACCCCTCCACAATCTCCCCCAAAGTCTCCACGCCCCCAACATTCCCGGGAAAAACCACAAACGGCACACCCCTATGCCTCGCCGTCTCCTCATCACACCTCCAAAGCGGCACCCCCGGCGCCGCCTGTCCCAGAATCATCGCGCGCTTAATCCCCAACCCCTTCGTTGCCGCGTCCGACGACGTGATCCCCCCCTTGGCAATAATCACCCTCGGCCGTACCTTCACCCGTTTCAACACCTCCACCAACGCCTCCGCCACGCGGCCCCCAATCGCTAGACTGGAGAGTTCGTCTCCCCCCGTGATGAGCTTCCGACTTGTCATGACGAGGACGTCTTTTCCTGACAGGAGGGAGGATTCGACGGCTGTTACTGTTGAGGTGATTATGGGGTCCAGGGAGGTGGGGTCTTCTGTTGTGGAGGTGATGATGTCTTCGACGTTGAGCTCGATGATAGAGAGGGTGTTTGTGCCACCGGGGCCGTGCTTGGTCGTTAGGTGGTTGAGCTGCGCGGTGGTTTTGGGGACGTAGGAGCCGGCGATTATTAGGGTTCCGGTTTCACTATTAGGTTGGGTATCGGTTTGGGGTGAGGGGAAGGAGGAGGCTGTTAGAGGGGGTTGGGGGCGGATGCCGAGGGTTGTGGAGACGAAGGCCGCGGCGGTGCGGTAGAGGTAGTGTTTTTGGGATTGGGATTTCGCTGGGATTTGATTAGATTGGGATTTGGGGGGTAGAGGAGAGTAGTGGAGAAAGGATGGGGGGTAGGTACCTTTGAGCAAGCCGGCGACGAAGACGTGCATGTCTGATTCCGCTGCAGCGTTGACGATCACTACGCTCCCCTTGGGCAAGGCGAGGAGCTTGTTACAGATGGTGTTGGGTCCACTAACTCGTATGTCCTCGATGGTGATGGAGTGGATTTGCTCCGGGGTGAATCGTCCCGGCGCCTTCTCTAGCACGTAGTCGTGGAGGTTGGAGCTCTTGAAACCGAAGGTGGCGTCGCGGGCGAACTGGGTTGCGCCGGCAGGGACGAGGTTATCGCCTTCGGCGACGTAGTGGATGTCGTTGATGGTGAGGCGGCCGCCCTGGAAGAAGAATGGGGCGAGGATGATGGCGTCGGCGGGACCGAAGACGGATTGCGCGACGTCGGCTTCTAGGGGGAAATGGCCGCGGAGAGTACTGTCGCCGCGTAGGACGATGTCCACGGTGGTTCCGGCGAGGTTGGCGGCTTGTTTGACGTTTTCGCAGATGGTGCGGATGAGCTTCTCGGCGTCGATGGGAGGTAGGGCGCGCGAGTTAGTGAGGATGAAGAAGCCTGGGGAGGGCTGTTGTAGTTCGGCCTGGAGAGTTGGGATGTCCCAGACTGTGAGGACGGCGATGTCATGGCATGTCTGGGTGCCGGTTGGGTCGTCGTCGAGCACGACGAGACGACTGAGGGATGCGGTGGAGAGGAGCTCGGAGATTTGGTCTTGTGCGTTGAGGGAGGATTCTGGGGGGAGCTGGAATAGGGTGCTCTCGCGAGGCACCGCGGGGTATTCGCGGGGAGTGGCCATTGTCAGTCAATTGTGTGGTGAGGGATTCTGGGGAAGTTCAATTGGGGAGAGCAGCAATTGAGATGCTTTAATATAAGGTGAGGTGGAGCAAGAAGAGTTGAAATGGAGGGGAAGCGGGGATCGGAGAGAAAGCCGATGCAGCTGGAATCTCCACCAAATAGCAATGATATCATGAACAGGAAACAATTGATGGATCCAAAAATGTTGGTCATTTCAAAAAGGTAACTCCTGTCTCGCATGCTATATCCATAGGAAGATCAGGGCAGTGACAAACAAGCAAGCCATGCAGAATCCCCCAAAGCGCCATGACATGTGCAGCAATGCAAGCCGGTCATCGTGAGTGAACTGAAATGAAGTGACAAAAGGAAATTCAATGATTGCACAGATGGCTTCCAATCCGTCATTATACATGTCCTCCCTTGTATTTTCCATGAGAAGCAGAAAGAAAAGAAAAAAAGAAGACAAAAACCCCTGGTTGTATCCCGACACTCCTCCCCAATTAACCTCAATTCTCGTGAATTGATGCAAAGCAGAACCAAAACCACCCTAGACACAACATAGGAGAGTGCATTAGCAGACACGTTGTGATCAACGTAGAATGAAGAGCATGACGCAAGGAAAAGAGAAGGGACAGTCAGGATGGACTGTTTCAACCGACAACACTACGGAAGCTCAGCGCTTCCAAGAAGCCTCCCAGGTCTTCCTTCTGCACCTCAACCACGCAGTGCTCGAAGCTATCAATGCGTACTCGAGCACTGGTTTCTTGCACCACTTCCTGGAACGCGATGCCAAACCTATTCCGCAGAAGGTGCTTGTTGCTGCGCAGGTCCTGTTCGTCTTCCGACTCCGACTCGGATTCAGACGACGACTCCTCCGTCTCCTCCTCTTCCTCGTCATCTTCACCGTTGGCAGCGCGCTCGGCAGCGCGCTGCGCCCGACGCTCCTCCCGCTCCTTGCGCTTTTTCTCCTTGGCTTCTTTCTTTTTCCTTCGCTCCTCTCGCCGTTTGGCGAGGGCGGCAAAGTCAACCACTCCGCCACCTCCTCCTGTACCCACGACCACATACAAGCCCCGGTCCTCGTCAAGCCCAGCAAGAACAAGCGGTGTACCCAGGGCCCGCCTGCGTCCTACCTTGACGGAGTCTCCTCGTTCCCTCTCTTGTACCCGGATCGCCTCAGCAACCCACAATGCCAGTTTGGTCAATGCCCCCGGATTGGTGAAGAGTTTCACGTCCGGACCATCTTTGACAACGGCGATACGGAACGCTCGCAAATGACGGATCTGGTGCTTTGCGAGCAGAGAAGTACCAGTGCGAAGGATGGCCCGGTGCAGGTGCTGGGCAAGAGGGAGAGATGACAGCAGGAGCGTCGGCGACTCTGAAGTCAATGACAGCGCGTCGTAGGCACTCCAAAACCGGGGCAGCAGGCTGGCCAGATCTGACTCGGTAGATCCATCAGCATTGGTCGCTGTGGCAGTTTTGGACGCACGTTTGGCATCCCACACTCCGGGGGCTTCTTCAGGCCCGACTTCAAGAATTGCACCGATGATAACACCTACGTCGGTGGCAGAAAGGCAGGCTTTCCATCCCCAACAGCGCACAAAACCCCATCCCTCGCGTGAAACGGCATGCCCAGACGCCTCCGGCGGAACAAGTCCGTCCAAGCCGTACATTGGCGCATACTTCAAGAGACGTTGTCGTAGTACTCGCTTCAGCTCCATGTCCATATGGGTATAGTTCTGATGGCTCTGGTTCAAGCTGATGCCCATTTTCGCCAGCAGTTTGTGTAGTCGTTTCTTTCCGTTCTCCGTCCACACATGAAGTCTGGATGCCAGATACGGGCTATGTAGCATACTGTCATAGAGCGACCAATGCCGTACGAGAATGAAACGCGGTTCAGGAGATAGCCGAATTGACTTGTCCGTTGGAGACCGTGCCGTAGTCGGAATGACGCCGTTGATTTCTCCTCTGATGTCGCGATCTCGCTCATATGGATCAGGAGGGTTTAATCGCAGGACCTCATCTCGTAGAATCTGCCGTATTCGTTCGCCTCTCTCTCCACCCCAGCCAGCCGAGCCTCCGTACTCCAGCGCATTCGACACACCCACTCCTGACATGGTACGGCCACTCAGTTCCAAGCTCGAGACACCCACAATGGCCAGCCACAGCAGATCGTTGTCTTCACGACCGAGCTCGGACGCAAGGGAATAGACAATGGACGATATCGGTTCCGAATATGACGTCCCTGACGAATAGTAACTCTGTAGCACATTCTCGTGCTTCCTCTTCATGCGCAGCAATCGTCGTCGTAACGTGCGCGCCGACGGTGGCTTGGGCTGTACCGGCGATGGTGAATCTGATGTTGGTGTAACCGAGCGAGACGAATTGGACGAATCATGCATAGCTCTCCGCGGAGGGCGTGACGGTGACGAAATGATATAGGACCCCTACAATGAGCACATTAGCACCGGCCTCAGCACAACAGGAACGAATTCTACACACCGAATCACTCCTTCTCCGCTGACGTGGAGGCCCATCTTCATCATCCGACTCGTCGTCCTCATCCTCGCGCGACCACGACTTGCGTTTCTTGGAATCCGAACTCGAGGGATGATCCTCGTCGCGATCACTCCCCGAGTCGCCATCCTCATCCTCGTCTTCATCCTCCTCACCCACTTCGGGCATAGCCACTAACTCACAATATGCCTCCCGCTCCTTCCCCAACTCCTCCTCAATATCCCCATCGTCATAAACCACAATGCCCCCATTGCCGGACGTATACGCCGACGTAATACACCCTTTCTCAACACCGCGCGACCCTCGTCTCGCACCCAGATTTACCATTCCCATAGCATCAGCCGCCGCAGACGGCCGCCCCTCACCCCCAAAGACATTAGCCAGGTTCCACGGCCGCCTAGCATCAAACACCCACACCTCGACCCCGCCCATATCATCTTCTTCCTCTTCTTCTTCCTCACTGCTCAAGCATAATATCTCGCTCAAATCCACCAGACCGCCCACCCCCAGACACACAACTACCCCACCACTCCCGCCATTGTTCGTCCGCATGGGCTTGACCAATTCCTCGCCCGCGCGCGCGAGATCGCCATATCCGGCTACCGGCTGGATCTTGTGCGGGATGTAGTCGCGCTTCAGGAGCGCCGTAAGAATCCGACAGGCACAGAGTGCATCGGGTTCGAGAGCCACGAGGATCAGAACGGGTGGGGAGAGCGGGTGGTGTGAGCGGAGGAGTTGTTGGTAAAGGTGGGAGATGAGTTGGCGGGGGAGATACATGGCGGTTAGAGTTGGATTCGGGGCGTGAAGAGGGTCGAATGGGGGGTTTTCTTTTAACCCTCGTCAGGCCGCGAGGGAAGAAGCAGTCGCAGTAGGAGGTGGTGTGGTTCTATTCAGTTAGTGGGCGAAGGAGAGAATTGGCTGAAGCACGCGGGTGGGCAAGTATGAGGGCGACGAGAGGGAGGGATAGGGCCGTGTCGGAGAGTACTGAGAAGTGCCTAGAATTCTAAGTCTGAGTCGTCAAACAGGAAACCAGGCAAGTAAGACTTATTTGGCGGCGACTCAGAGGTAAGAGACAAGAGTCGTCCACGCCATTGTTTCCTGATGTTGTTGTTGCTTGTGGGTGTTTTCTGCGGAAACCAGGCGATGTAATAATCGAGCGGCGCGCATCGCCAGCCCGAAGACGCGTCTGGCACGTGCGGAGGTCCGCCCGCCAAGCCCGGGTTTTACTCTTCGCAAATAAAATCAATTTTACTCAAAAGGCGCTGCTCGTTGGCATGTTGCAGGTCTCCACGTTCTTCAGTTCTTCAGAATGTTGCACTGCAGATGGGCTAGTTTCGAGGGGCGATGGGAATGGCTTTCCTAGATTGGCTGTCGAAACTATCGGTTTTTATCCTTGAAGCGTGGCTTGAACTTGGGTTTAGTCCCAAAGCATATTGCGTTGCCCTAAACTAGATATCTGTTCAAGAAACAATGCATTCATCTGTGTACATGCTATGCTGATTATAATGGTGGAAAACTGTATGGAAATAAAAAGACACCTGGAACGCCATCCCTGCGCTATCCGGTTAACATAGACACTGGGTGCAGATATGCTCCAGCCTCTAGGTCAGTAGAACGTCAAGGCAGTCGACCAACTGCAACTCATACATCAAATGCAAAGTCCTGCCCCAGGATCAAGCCGAGGTCCCGCCCAAGATCGATCCCGTAAGCCAGACAGCAGCACACGCGCCCAGGACGGAAACCCCGACCAACCGCTTCTGCCACGTAGATTCCTCCGACATCTTCGCCGGCCCAACCTTGGTCCTGACCGTGTAATGCGGGGAAGATTCCTCATGCGCACTGGCACCCTTTGACCCCAAGGACTCGTTCTGCCGGGCGAGGTAGTCCTGGTCGCGGGCGCGCCATTTGTTCACGAGTCGGGCAATCTCAATCAGATCTTCCTGCAACGAGCCCGGCTCGGTCGCATTAACATTCTCAACTTCGACGTTCTGCACATTCCCAAAGAAATCTGCCACGGTGCGAAGCCGTCCCTCCTGCTCGCCGCCAGGGAACAGGTCCCATCTGACGCCCGGCTGGGAATGGATCTTGGACTCATCGTACGAATCGAACAAGTCGCCCAGCGTGAGCTTCGAGTTGGCACTCGTCACCTGTGTCTCCAAAAACTCCAACACATAGTATGTCCAGCGATCGATCACCGCAACTCCGACATCATTGTCCGCATGGTGGGAGTAGGAAGATTGGTCAAGCTCACTGGATCCGGTAGCGATGATGTTCGGCGAGTAGAAATGCGTATACATAGTGTTCGCCTGGCAGGTATCAATCATGAACAGGAGCTCATGGTAGCGCTTCTTTTCCCACATCTGACCGAAGGCGTCCGCCAGGTCCCAAGCCCCGATTTCCTCGGAGTCCTGGAACTTCAGGAACTGGTCGCCGCCGTGACCAGTCATGTAAACCAAAACATTACTGCCCGCGTCGGAGCCTAGTCGCTTGCTGCGTGGTACATCTTCGTCCAGGCGATCCGTCAGAAGGCGGATGAAGTTCTCCACGGTGACCTCGTACCCCCGATAGTCGACCTCGATGTTGTCGCCGTAAAGATCAACGGCGCGATCCGCGTTACTGTAAACGGTTCCGGGGAAGGCATTGCGAGGGTTGCAGGCCATGTCATCGGGGAGCATCAGGATGATCTGCGAGTCGGGGATGCCCAACCGCTTGACGGTGCGGTACAAGGAGAGGACATTGGCGAGATGACGGTAGTTGAACCAGAAACGGGAGGTTGAGACGAGGACGGCCCAGTTGGAGGTATGTTCGGAGGATCCTGTGACTGTGAGGGCGAGTAGAAGTAAAGGCAGGACTCGAAGGAGTCCTGAGTAGGGCGTCAACATGTTCGGTGATGGGATGCTAAACCATCGCAGACACCTGCAATGATGATCAATCAAGCCGCATTCGGGGAGGGAGTCGGAGGTGTTCCTGAGGCAGGAAGGCGGAGATGCGGGTAAAGAAGGCTTTAACCGCATATAGCATAGCTCCATACGTGACGTAGTCAGGATGTTTGAGCTATTTGACTTGTTTGTGGTGTTTACATTCATTGGACTTGAAGCAGCGCGCATACCCGTTCCTGAGGTAGATATTACTAGAGACTGCTCCGTACATAGGACCGGATTACATACAACGCAAACCAAACAGCACATAGATAGACATTCTAGTTCCACTCATATCCTACATCATATCCTTCCTGTTCATCTTTCCAGCCGAGCCCTGTTCCTACATCATGATCTGATCAACATGGCGCCTCACCCTCGGATAAACGTCTTCATAGGCTGTCGCGCCCATCCAGGCATCCAAATGTCCCTTGCCCGTGAAGACTTCCCGCTCGTACCAATCCCTTCCATGCACATTACAAAGTGTCGTGTACGAGATATCCGTGTTCTCGGCAGTAAACACCATGTTTCCTGTTCCTGATAGGAACAAGATCGGAATTCCCTTCAAGCGTTCGAGGTTTTCCGGCGTGACAAGATTGGTGAAAGCTGGCCCGTTGGCTAGAACGCTCTCCTTCCGGCCACTCTCCATGAGCCATTGAAGGGAACGCATCGAGGTGCCACCGAGGAAGCGTTCGAGTTGGGTGTGGGTGGCGTCATTGAGGTTTTTATGGGTCCAAAGACTGAGGACTTGTTAGGTGATTGTTGCTGGCGGATGCACGGAAGTCTTTGGGACACTTACCGGCCAAATACAAGTTCGCTCCGATGGCAGACAACCGATCGGCACGACTCCCCGGCCTCCCCTTGAGGGTAAAAGCGCAACGCCTGGTTTAACAGTGACTGGATATAAGTGTCGTTGCGGCTACTGGTGCAGTCCCAGTACGGACTGACCAGTCGGGCATATAGGGAAGTGGGAAATTTGGACAGGAGACTATCAACCTTTCCAAACTTAGGGTTCATGAAAACCATTGATGCGGTGATTCCCTGAATCCAGTCACTAGGAATTGTGCCGTCCAGTAGGCCGCAAGACAGTGCTAGGGAGCCTGCGCAGTGGGCCACCACGTAGACCTTTGGGGGCTCGGACGGACTCATTGTGCTGATAACCTTGCGAATGTGGACAAGAGCAGCGTGTATATCGCGCCGTGCATCATACGGTGTATACCCTTCTCGAGCGATCGGAGCTCGTCCGACTCTATGAGTGATGCAGTAGATACGGTATCCGGACTCGCGGAAGTACTCGACTGCATTCCTCTCTATGGTAGGAAGAGCGAACATCTTGTGGTCAACTGCTGCTCCTGGTATAAAGAGTAAAGTTGGGGCAGGACCCAGAATTTCCTTTCCTTGGAAGGTAGGATTCCACATCACCATGTTTGTAGTGACTCCGTCAGATGCTGTCAATGGAATGGTGGAGGATGGGGTTACTTCCTTAGAAGCGTAGTTCAGCGTTGTGTCTGGCCACTGAAGTTGCCCAAGCGCCGAAAGAAAGGGCACGGAAAGCTGTTTCGCGAAGTAGGCAAGAAAGTTCACTGTTGATTTGGCCCTTGTCCACAGCGATGGCCCACTTGTTTCGAAGGTTTTCAGTTCGTAACCGAAATCGTCTGGAAGAATACGCAGCATACCGCGGCCTACTACTATATTGCTCGGATCTGTGATGGTGACATACAGCGTGCTGGTCTGTCTCCAGAGTTCAAGTGGGTTGAGGAAGGATGCACTGTTCACGACTTTGTAGCCGTTGAAATGCAGTTTTCTCCCACTGGTCGATATCATGTCAAAGTTATAGGTCAGGTTCGCTGTGTCTGGTTGCCGGGCATCGTAGTTGAACAGTTGGAAGGTGCCTCTGTGAACCAAGAAGACACCTCCAAGCGTGTTGCAAGTAAATGTTCCCGTCAAGTTTGCCAAATGTTGACTGCTCTTTACCACTGCAAAGCGTCAGTGGAATTTGACTAGAGGCTTATATTTAACAGTATGAACTCACGCTCCTCAGCACTCCATGCTTTGACGCTCAGGAAGAATCGTGCATTCTCGCAGCGGCCTCGAGCAAGCTTCGTCGCGACCTCAAAGTCTTTAACGTCATGACCAGTGTATATGAAGCCAGTCATGATCTCCGAGAACACGACGCCGGTGTTTTGATTTTCAGTGGCTTTCGCAAGCCTGTATGCAAGTTGCGCGGTTTCTGCATCTTGAGTAGAACGATATGCCGGGGTACCGAACATGTCCAATTGACCTGAGGCTGTTAGTGAGGGAGTAGCGTCCTCGTCTCTGCCCAGTACCCACCGTTTTTCGTGTTATAGTCGATGGCTATATTTCGCCTCCGGGCTACCATCTCAACTGATCTCTCAGCAAAGGCTGTAATGGTCGCAAAAGGATTGACGCCAACAGCTGCTGGCAGCGCAGAGCTGTCGCACACGACCAGTCCTTCATACGCTTCGCTGCTGTTTCCCTTCAACACTTCCCCAAGGTGATTGACCACCCCATTATTCCCAGTGTTGTCTTTGCTGATGCGCGCTCCACCTCTGCGGTAAATGTTAGGTACTTCAACAGGTGCCGGGTCTACCGCTAATAAACATACATTGGATGCACTGTGATTTCCTGCCTACCCAAAGTACTCCAGACTGGGTTGGCTATAAAATTCCCACCGACAGCAGCCGTCATTCTCTCGAGGATACCGTGGATGCGAGATACAGATTTAGATCGACCCACGCCCGAGTATGTTAGCACTGGCTTGTCTTTCTGGAGTGACAATCTGCCTTGGCTACCTGCAATATGGTGAGAAGCAGTTTCTATAATCTGACAAGCATGCAAGGTGCTCACTGTCATGCGACATGATCAAATATACGGCAGTCTTCTGCACACTTCCCTCGGGTACGTATGGCCCAAGCTTGCCTTTCAGTCGTGCGACAAACTTCTCTAC